TCCCGGCCTCCCTCCTCGGCCCTGGCACGCACCCCCGGAGGGAGCTGGCTGGCTGGGGCGGGAGCCAGGGCTGGGGGCTGTGACCGGCAGGGAAGGGGAACCCAAGCAGACATGATATTTATGTTAGGACTTCAAAGTGGAGCGGAGCCTGAGGCAGGGATGGGGGGGCCGCGGGGTGGGAGGCAGGGGGAGGTGGCGGCAAAAGCCAGACTAGGGTCAGCTCCGGCCCCTCCCCGGGGAAGGTCTCCTTGGTGACACCAACCTCCCAGAGTGGGGACAGGCGGCTATTTTGGTGCCGAGTTCCAAGAAAGGCACTTCCTGTGCCCCGTTCTGCCCCAGCCCCGTGCTCTCTTCCTGTCACCCGCACAGCGGCTCGGTCCTCTGAGCATCACGGGCCTGGCAGGAAAACATCCCTGTGCGGCCGGCCTCTGGCAGAGGCCGCTCCGGACAGGGCAGCGGGGTCTCTAACCCGGGGCCTGGCAGGGCCAAGCGGGCCCAGCCCTCAGGGCCTTGGGGGCCACTCGGGCTGAGAGCCCACGGGGCCAAAATGGTCATGGAGGTCACCCACCCCTGCCCCCGCCCTTGGCCTCCCCCCTGCTAAAGACACCCAGCTGCCGGGCTGGGAGGCCTGGGTCAGGGGCCCGGGCCGGTGGGCGGGGCCCATTGTCTCATCCTGGCTCTGCTCTGGGTCCCCAGCCCTCCCCGGAGCCGGGCCCTTCGGCGGTGCCGCCCTCGGGAAGCCCCTCTCCCGGACCAGAGGCTTGCTCTGGACCAGCACCCTGTGGTCTGAAGGACCGAGGCCCCCAAAGTCCCAGGACCTAGGCCCCCGAAGTCCCAGGACCAAGGCCCCCGAAGACCCAGTCCCTGAGCCAGCCCCCCCTCCATCCTCCGTCCTCCCCAGGCCCTTCCGGTGAATCACTCCGGCTGGAATCTGATGAGCTCAGGCCTCCCCACCCAGCGCGGCCGCTCCTGCTCAGCCAGTGGGGTCGCCGCCCCCCACACAGGGGTCTTTCCAGCAGCTCCCAGCCCTCGCCATGGGGCAGGGTGGCTGAGTGGTGGCTGACATAGGCTCGGGCTGGGAGTGAGGTCAGTCCGAAGGGCGTGGCTCTCTTCTGGACGATCAGAAGTATAGGAGTGCGTGTGCGTCTCTGAGTCTGTGCCTGTGAGGGTCCCGGTGTCCGTGCCTGTGTGCCGTGTCTGAGCGGGGACCGGTGTGCCAGGCAGCCCTGCCCGGCTGGGTGTGTGTCGTGAGGTTTCTGTGTAGTAGGTCACCACATGTGTGTCAGCCTGTCCGTGTGTGTGTGTGTGTGTGTGTGTGTGTGAGAGAGAGATAGAGAGAGAGAGAGAGAGAGAGAGAGAGAGTCACATTCTGAGCCCCAGAGGAAGTAGCTGTGAGTTTGAAGATCCAGGATGTCTGTGGGCCGGAGGAGGGGCCGGTGTGTGCCCGTGTCCATCCCTCAGGGCACAGGGGACCTGTCAGGGTGTTCCCAGCACTCTGCCCCGGGTTTCCTCACAGGAGTGGCAGGCAGGGCGTCACCCACAGCGAATGTGAGTCAGGGTGTTTCTGGGTGTGGACATGGGCCTGGAAGCCAGGGCAGGGTGCTGAGCGCTCGGTGCTGAAGGTGGGTCAGGGTGCGGTCGTGGACTGCCTTCCTGCCCCCCCCTCCTGAGTGGGCCCTCCAGCCAGCCCGCACGCCCTGACTCCGGGCCCGCCTGGCCCATTACGCCCCGGCAGTGGGCGGCCCTCCCCCAGCACGTTCGGACTCTGGCCTCAGGATCCCCGTTTGCAGGACGGTCCCTGGCTTGGCCCCGGCCCCGCTGCAGGGCTGCCTCTTCCGGCATCAGGCGCGGCTGGTCCTCTGAGCGCCCTGTCCCGGGCGGGCGGCCCCAGGTGAGCAGGGGCCCGGCTGGAGGCCGGGAGCGGCGCGCGCTCGCCGCCTGGCGGTGGCGGAGGAGAATGCACTGCCCACGCCGGGAGCTGCGAGGACCGTCCAGGCAGAGTCTTCCCCGGGCCGCCAGGAATCCTCCAAGTGCCAGCTTCCGGCCGGCATTGTTCGAGGCCCGAGGCTTACGGGAACCAGGACGACCTGGCCGTGGCCTTCCTGCGGGGCAGAAGACAATGGACAAGCACTCAGGGACCTGCGGAGGCTCTGGGGTGACAAAGGGCCGCTGCCCGGGGAGGGAGGGAGGGAGTGGGTGCTGCCCGGGGAGGGAGGGAGGGAGTGGGTGCTGCCCGGGGAGGGAGTGGGAGCTCCTGGGAGGACCCGGCGCCATGGACCCCAGCAGGCGTGGCCCTCGCAGAGCCCGCCTCCTCCGCCAGGGCCAAAACTCTGATTCCTCCCCAGACCTCATCTGTCTCTGAAGGATGGTGGCAGCCACCCTTGGGTAAACATTGCTGTTTAATATTCTAACCTTGCTGTTTTGGGTTCTGTCCTCATTAAAAAGTTATTTTGATTTTCTGAGCTTATGTATGCCATCCCGATACTCCATGGGTGATGGTTTGCACGTCCCATTGATTGTGATCTCACTGGTCATCGGGACATTCCTCGGGGTGCTCAGTTACCCTGCAGCAGCTACAGATAACTGAGTTCCGGTCGACTCAGTGGTCCCCGAGTCAGGTCATCCTAAAAGGCTTCAGATGGCGTGTTCCTGCCGGCTCAGGGATCCCAGAATCTGGATCGATTACGCTCATTTGTCCAGGTGGCCCAGATAATGATGATGCGTTTCCGGTGATTCAGCGATTCCGAGATAGCTAAGTCGCTCAGATTCTGCTTCTGTGAAAACGCTTTTTTTCTGGAAACAGGTTCCTCATTCCAGACCCAAAGATGTCATCGATACCTTCGTGATTTTCTGCCATGAGCCAGGCGTGGCGAGCTGCCCGGGCTGCGAGGTCTGAAGCGCTTTGCTCCCTCCTATGCCGCTGGCTTTTAATAAATGACTCCGTAATTCGACCTTTTTTGAGGCATCCTCTGTGAGATGGGGGTTACATCACATTTCCCTCTGGCCGGGGCGGGAGTGCTTGGTCCAGACAGACACCCCATAGATGATTGCCGAGTGGACCAGTAAAGAGTCCTTCTGTTGGGGAGGACTGGGGAATCAGGAGCCCCACAGACCCTGGGGTTCGAGCCCTGTAACAAGCCCCTTTCCCTGAGCAAGCCTCGGTTTGCTCACCTGTAAAATAGGGATAACGAGATCAGTCTTAGGCCAGCCTATCGGTGCCTTCCCTGCCCGGAGTTCCAACACCTGCATGGTGACCCTTGTTTATGCTGATTTACCTGCCCGGACCTGAGCCAGAATCTCTTAAGACAAACACCCAGGCAGCAGGCAGGGCCTGGCAGTGCTCTGCTGAGCCTGAGCCACTGCGGGTGGTGGTGGTGGTGGTGGTGGTGTGTGTGTGTGTACGGTGCTGAAGTCCCAGAGCCAGGAATCAGGACTCCGCAGGGGAAGGGGATGAGAGCGGCGTGCAGAGGCCCCCCGAGACAGGGGCCCAGAAGCCTCAGCCAGGCCCAGTGTCTGCTCCCCATCCAGCCGGGGCTCTCCGAGTACCCCCTGCAACCCCCCAGGCCCTTCCTCTCCCTCTGAACTTGCAACATCCTGGTTGATTCCCACCCCAGCCCTCCCTTGACCTCCCAGCTCCCCACCGCCCTTCGGTGTTACCAACTCCGGTCAGAGGACAGTGTTTATTGAGCCTGAGGAGTGTCCGGCACTGAGCGAGGCCGGGGGGGGGGGGGGGGGGGGAGGAGGCACACAAAAGCCCCAAGGGGAGAATCCCTGACCGGGGAGAAGCTGGGGGAGAGGGTGGAAGTGGGAATTTGGGAGCCCCCCCCCCCCGGGGCTGCATCTGGCTGGTCTGCCTGACCCATGTCCAGGCCTTCCACCCCCAGCTGTCCCCTCTGAGGAGCCGGCCATGTCCCTTAGTGTGCAGCGGGCTGGGGTCCTCCAACCAGGGACAGTTCCTTCCCAGAGAGCGGTCCTGGCAAGGCTGGCTGCGTCCGGGCCCTGACCCCGAGGCAGCCGAGGGCCGCAGCCTCAGCCCTGCTGCCCCCTAGTGCCCCATGGCTGGCTGCCCGTGCAAAGCCTGGGAGCCACCCTCCCCTCTTGTCACCCGCCCCGCGGCTTCCTGGGCCACACACGCCCCCTGGCGGCTGCTGCCGGCACTTTCTTGGCTCAGATTTGCTGCCCGCTCTGCGGGGCGTGGGGGTTAATTTCCTGGTGGCTCAGCAGGGCTCGGTGTAGTGGGAACCTGATGCACTGGCTGGGGTGGGGCCCCTAATGGCCTCGGTGTGACACTCAGGAGGCACTTTCCCGACTCGGTGGGTAAGAGCACTAACTCCCTAACGCTCCTGAGAGGTCCGAGGAGTGAAGGGCAGAGAAATGGTTTCCGAAAGCCGCCTTCCTGCCCACGTCCCCGGAGGCCCGAGGGCCGGGAGGAGGGTCCACCCTGGGAAAGACTGGAACTTGGGTGCTGCTCCCTCCGGCGGGACCTGCCCTCGGGGTCTCCACGGGGCGACTGGGGGGTCAGCCTCCGCAAGTGCAGCGAACGACCCTTGACCCTTGGAGGGGGGGAGGTGGACGTCCCACCTCCCTCCCTCCCTCCCTCCCTTCCTCCCTCTCCCCTGGCCCGAGTTCCGCTCTGGAGCAGACAGGATGGCACTGCGCCCCCACTTTACAGGCGAGGGGCTGGGGTTTGGAGGTTCAGTCCCCCGGGGCCTGGAGCAGGGCTGGCCGGAGCCCCCGCTGCCTCCCGAGTCCTCTGAGACGGGAGCAGGCGGAGTCCTCCACGCCTCGAAGCCCCAGCGTGGAGGCTGCCGGCCAGGCAGAGCGGGAGAGGCAGAGCCCGTGGACTGGGGCCCCCAGGCCCCTCTTCACTCCGAGGCCGCGGGTGCGTGGCGAGGGCAGAGGTGAGAGTCGGAGGCGTGGTGGCTCAGAGGGGGGCTGGGCCTCGGAAGGCCTTCCCAGCAGGCTCCTTTTCTGACCCCAGTGCTCACGGCCACTCCCAGCTACTCCTCTGCTGCCGGGCCTCCCTCAGCCTCCGGCGCGCCTGGCGGAGCTGGCCCTCCCCCGGCCTGGCTCTCCTCCTGCCCAGCAGTTGTCACAGGGTCTGGCTTTGCCGGCGATGCCCCCATCTCCCTGCCCCCCTCCTCCTCCCCGCCTCCCGCCTCTGGCTCCCCGCTGCCCGCCTCCGCTGCTCCCCCAAGGGAGGCCGCCAGGGTGTCCGGCCGCTCCGCCCAGCGGCGGTAGACGAGGTAGCCAGCCGTGGGCAGCCGGTGGGCCGGGGCTCCGGGGGGCAGGCGGCGGTAGTCCCGCTCCTGGTACAGGAAGAGGCCAAAGGCATCCGGCTGGGCCACCCGGAACTTGGCAGCACAGAGCTGGTTCAGGGCGGCAATCGAGGCCCCAGGGGGCACGGCCAGGGTCTTGGAGGTGCAGCCGCTGCCGGGGTCCTGGTAGGCCACCCGGAGGAGGTGCTGTGCAGGGGAAACACACAAACGCAGCCTCGCTTGGAGCGTATGTGGCTGCAAAGCTCAAGGCCCCGGTTTCCGCTCTGCAGAACCAACTGGAAAAAGCCTTTTGGACAAGGTGAGGCCCTAGGGGGCCCCAAGGAGGGGAGGGATGTGCTCAGGCTGCTGGGTCACACGCGGGCTGGAGGGAGGGCCCCCCGCAGGCCTGCAGCCTGGCCGGCACGCTCAGGTGGAGCTAACTCTGCGTCCTGAGCATGCGCCCTGGTTTTAGCTCATTTAATCCTCATTTCAGTCCCAGGAGGTAGGTACTACTGTCCCATTTTATGGATGAGAAAATGGAGGCTCAAATTAGTTACCGAACTTGCTCAAGCTCCCACAACCCCAAAGGAGCGGAGCCCGGATCTGGGCCCAGGACCTGGCTACAGTCTGGCCTCTTAACCCGGCCTGAGGAGGGCGGCAGGGACGGGGAGCTCAGGGATGGGGTCTGGTGAGGGAAGCCTGAGCCAGGGGTGGGCAGAGGCCCCGTTGGGGCTGGAAGCCAGGATTTGAGGCTTCAGCCTTCCCCGTGGCCCACTCCCTGTCCATGCCACGCCTCAGTTTCCTCCTCTGTGAAACGGGGTAGCGATGGCCTCTTTCTGCGAAGATTCGGGGCTGAGCGCCTGGGCAGTGCGGGCACCTGGGACTCCTCTCTCCCGAGAGGCTGTCTGATGGGGCGCTGTTCTGTGCAGGGTGCAGGGCCCGCCGGTCCGCGCTGGGACTGTCCCGTGGGTGGCAGGGCCCTTACCTGGAGGCTGCGGGTGGCGGGCGGACGGCGCTGCTCCCACAGGCTGAGGGCGCGCTGCAGCTCCTGCGAGGGGCTCGGGGGCAGCGCGGGGGCCCGGCCCAGGCCGCTCAGCAGGGCCAGGCTGGCCGAGAGGCTGGTCAGGTAGTAGCCGCCTGGGACGGGGAGGACGGAGGGGGCTGGGTGACACGCTCCCCCGCCCTCCCCCCGCTCCCCGCCCGGCGGGAGGCGGCGGCCTCACCCTCTCACCCTCTCCGGTGAGCAGGGCGGGCTCCAGCAGCTCAGACATGTACTCGGCCTCCAGCAGCAGGTCGGGGAGGTCGCAGTGGGCCAGCACCAGGCTCAGCAGCGGGAGGAAGTCGTCCGCCCCCGCGCCCTCTCCTGCGGGAGGGGGAGGGAGGCTTCAGGCGCCTCTGGCCTTCGACAGCGACCTCCCTCCGCCCGCCGGCCCGGGGCAACGTGATCTCTGTGGCCACCTGGGCCTCAGTGAGACCGCCTGTGGGCTGGGAGGGCCCATCTTCCCCCCGCTGTGCCCCCGCCGTCTGCCCGAGGGGCTGCCTCCGGCCGCACTGGGCCAGCGGGGGAGGCGGGGAGGTGGCGGGGACCAGCGGGGGAGGCGGAGGGGAGGCCAGCGGGGGGGGGGGGGGGGGGGAGAGGGCGGGGCAGCGGGGGAGGCGGGGGGAGGGGGGCGGGTGGAGGGAGGCGGGGGAGGGGGGTTGACGGAGGGGGGGAGTGTACCCAGCTGGGTCCTCAGTGTGGGGGAGGCGGGGGGGAGGCGGGGGGGGGTTGACGCGGGGGGAGTGTACCCAGCTGGGTCCTCAGTGGGGGGAGGCGGGGGGGAGGCGGGGGGGGGTTGACGCGGGGGGAGTGTACCCAGCTGGGTCCTCAGTGGGGGGAGGCGGGGGAGGCGGGGGAGGAGGGGAGGCGGTGGGGGCCAGCGGGGAGGCGGGGGGGGGGAAGGTGGTGGGGGTCAGCGGGGGAGGGAGTTGACGGGGGGGGGGGTGGAGTGTACCCAGGTGGCTCCTCAGTTGGGGGAGGCGGGGGGAGGATGGGGGTGACGGGGGGGGGGGGAGTGTACCCAGCTGGGTCCTCAGTGGGTGGAGGCGGGGGGAGGACGGGGGTGACGGGGGTGGGGTGGGGGGGGTGTACCCAGCTGGGTCCTCAGTGGGGGGAGGCGGGGGGGAGGCGGGGGTGGGGGGAGGCGGTGGGGGTCAGCGGGGGAGGACGGGGTGATGGGGGGGGTGTACCCAGCTGGGTCCTCAGTGGGTGGAGGCGGGGGGAGGCGGGGGGAGGACGGGGGTGGGGGGGGTGTACCCAGCTGGGTCCTCAGTGGGGGGAGGCGGGGGGTGGCGGGAGGCGGTGGGGGTCAGCGCGGGAGGACGGGGGTGGTGGGGGGGTGTACCCAGCTGGGTCCTCAGTGGGGGGAGGCGGGGGGGAGGGGAGGTGGTGGGGGTCAGCGGGGGAGGACGGGGTGGTGGGGGGGTGTACCCAGCTGGGTCCTCAGGACCGTGTAGAGCAGCTTGCAGGCCTGCAGGAGCCGCTTGACCTGGGCGCTGGGGGCGTAGGTGCGGAGCAGCTGCAGCAGCTTCTGGCGCACCTGCTCCACCTCGGCCGGGGCCGGCAGGCTCAGGCGGGACCCGAAGGCGGCGGGGCCCTGGGCCCGCGCCAGGCGGCAGCCTTCGGCCAGGCGGCCCAGGGAGCCGTCGGCGGAGAGCCGGCGCCGCAGGCGGGCCAGCAGCAGGGGCCGGAGGGGCTTGAGCACGGAGCGGTGCAGCGACTTCTCCAGGACGCGCTCTGTGGGCGGGCGGGCGGGTCAGGGGCCGGGGCCAGGGCGGGGGGCCGGGGGCCAGGGCGGGGGGCCGGGGGCCAGGGCGGGGGGCACGGGGGGCCAGGGCGGGGGGGGACGGGGGGCCAGGGCGGGGGGACCGGGGGGCCAGGGCGGGCGGGTCAGGGGCCGGGGCCAGGGCGGGCGGGTCAGGGGCCGGGGCCAGGGCGGGGGGCCGGGGGCCAGGGAGGGGGCAGCGGGGGGCCAGGGCGGGCGGGTCAGGGGCCGGGGCCAGGGCGGGGGGGCCGGGGGCCAGGGCGGGGGGGGCGGGGGCCAGGGCGGGGGCACGGGGGGCCAGGGCGGGGGGCACGGGGGCCAGGGTGGGGGAGCGGGGGGGGGCCAGGGTGGGGGAGCGGGGGGGGGCCAGGGCAGGGGGGTCGGGGGGGCCAGGGCGGGGGGGACGGGGGGCCAGGGCGGGGGGCACGGGGGGCCAGGGCGGGGGGGACGGGGGGCCAGGGCGGGGGGACCGGGGCCAGGGCGGGGGGGTCGGGGGGGCCAGGGCGGGCAGGTCAGGGGCCAGGGCGGGGGCACGGGGGGCCAGGGTGGGGGGCACGGGGGCCAGGGCGGGGGGACCGGGGCCAGGGCGGGGGGGTCGGGGGGGCCAGGGCGGGCAGGTCAGGGGCCGGGGGCCAGGGCGGGGGCACGGGGGGCCAGGGCGGGGGGACCGGGGCCAGGGCGGGGGGGCCGGGGGCCAGGGCGGGGGCAGCGGGGGGCCAGGGCGGGGGGCACGGGGGGCCAGGGCGGGGGAGCGGGGGGGGCCAGGGTGGGGGAGCGGGGGGGGGCCAGGGCAGGGGGGACGGGGGCCAGGGCAGGGGGGACGGGGGCCAGGGCGGGGGGGCTGGGGGCCAGGGCGGGGGGGCTGGGGGCCAGGGCAGGGGGGAGCGGAGCCCAGAGAGACAGGGCTGAGGCGGCGGGACCTTGTGAGACGGGGGGTGGCGGGGGGGAGTGGGGAGTGAAGTTCAGAGAAGGGGGACAGGCGGCCTGTGGCGGGGAGGGAGAGGCGGGCAAGAGCTGAGACGGAGAGAAAGCGGGGCTGGAGCCTCACCCAGCCTGGTGGGCGGCAGCAGCTTCTCAGCGCCCAGCTCGGCGCTCAGCATGACCTGGGCCCTGCTCAGCGCCTCCCGGATCCCCTGCAGCTCCTGGGGCCGGGGGCCGGCGCGCACCTGGGTCAGCAGGTCCTGCACCAGCTGGCCCGCGGCCGAGCGGCGGTCCCGCACCAGGGCCGCGGCCGCCCGGCCCGCCTGCCGCTCGGGGGCCAGCAGGGAGCAGAAGGCCGAGCTCACCGACCGCAGCAGGGGCCGCCGGCTCCTGCGGCTCAGGCGGGGGGAGGTGGCCGGGCTCCCGGGACAGCCCTGCACCCCGCCCTCCTCCTCCTCGGAGCTGCTGGGGGAGCCGCAGTCCACCTCCTGGAGGGAGGGCAGGGGCGGGAGGCTGGCGCTGGCGCCCCCTGGCACTCGGTACCCCGCTGAGCTCTCCCTCCTCAGCAGCTGTCGAGGGGCCATCCTCTCGGTGGCCTGGCCGGAGGCGGCCCCGGGCGGCACGGGGACCGGGGGCGGGGGCACGGCGGGCGGGGACAGGGGGCTGGAGGTCTCCGTGGACACGCGCACTTTGAAACTCCTCTTGAATTTCTCCCGCTTGGCGGGGCCCAGGTCCCCCGGGAACAGGGGGTTGAAGAAGCACAGGGCGGCCCCGGAGCCCTGGTCCAGCTCTTGCGGGGACCGCGGCTTCAGCCGGGGCAGCGGCGGGCCTTCGGAGGGGCCCGGCGGGGCCTTGGCGTTGAGGGAGGAGCTCCAGAACTCTGGAGAAGAGAATCCACCTGGGCCTCAGGGAGGTGGGGGGGGGGTGCCCAGAGGAGGGCGAGAGCCAGGCTCAGGCTGCGTGCCCGAGCGCCTCCCCTTCCCCCCGGCCTCAGTTTGCCCACCTGTGCAATGGGCGCAGGGGGCCTTACCGATGCCTAAATGGGAGATGGCCTCCAGCTCCTTGTGGGTGGCTGCCTGGCGGATGGCGCGGGGGAGCTGGAGCTGGAGCAGCAGGATGTCCCTGAGGCCAGAGGGGGGCAGGTAAGGAGGTGCCTGGGTGGTCGGGCGGGGGCAGGGTGTCCCTCCCGCCGGCACCCGGGCGGGCGGGCTCACCGGGTGTGGCAGTAGGCGCAGATGAGCTGGACGAGGTCCGGGAAGACGAGCTCAGATCCCTCCAAGGAGACGCCTGGGAGACGGGAGTGAGGCTGTTCTCTGGACCCCCGGCCCGGCCTCTGCTCCAGCCCCATCCCTCGGGCCATCCTGCTCACCCCCGGGGCGCTCCTGGACGTAGTGGCTGGACACGAAGGAAGGGCCACCGGCCTCCGGCAGCCGGACACACAGAGCTTGGCACTGGCGGGTGTTAGATTTCCGCACCAGGAACGTCTGAGGACGGAGGGGCTGGCACTGAGGACCTCCGTGCCCGCTCCTCTCCCCCCGCTTCGGCGGCCAGTCCCGGGGGGACCAGTCCCGGGAGGGTCAGTCCCGGGGGGACCAGTCCCGGGGAGGCCAGTCCCGGGGAGGCCAGTCCCGGGAGGGTCAGTCCTGGGGGGACCAGTCCCGGGGAGGCCAGTCCCGAGGAGGCCAGTCCGGGGGGACCAGTCCCGGAGGGACCAGTCCCGGGGAGGCCAGTCCGGGGGGACCAGTTTGGGGAGACCCAGTCGGGGGGACCAGTCCCGGGGGGACCAGTCCCGGGGAGGCCAGTCCCGGGGAGGCCAGTCCGGGGGGACCAGTCCCGGGGGGACCAGTCCGGGGTGGGGGGAAGCCAGTCCCGGGGGGACCAGTCTGGGGAGACCCAGTCGGGGGGACCAGTCCGGGGGGGACCAGTCCGGGGGGACCAGTTCCGGGGGGACCAGTCCGGGGGGCACCAGTCGGGGGGACCAGTCCGGGGGGACCAGTCCGGGGGGACCAGTCCGGGGAGGCCAGTCCGGGGGGACCAGTCCGGGGAGGCCAGTCCGGGGGGACCAGTCCCGGGGGGACCAATCCGGGGGGACCAGTCCGGGGGGACCAGTCCGGGGGGGACCAGTCGGGGGGACCAGTCCGGGGGGACCAGCCCCGGGGGGACCAGTCCGGGGGGACCAGTCGGGGGGACCAGTCCGGGGGGCCGGTCCGGGGACGGACGGACGGCAGACTCACCCCCGGGGGCTCGGTCCTCAGCACGTGCAGCGCGGCGGCCGCGTTGGCCGGCAGCTGCAGCCACACAGGCCGCGTGAGCAGCAGGCGCTCCCGCAGGCTCACCGCGCGCCCCGGCCGCCGGGGCCCACCGGCCTGCCCCCCGCCGGCTCCCGGCACGTCGTACAGCGGGTCCTGGGCCGGCCTGGAGGCAGGCGCCAGTCTGAGCCCCCTGCACAGCCCTCTCCCCCTCCCCTGCCCTGGGACAGACCGCCGGTCCCCCGCCAGGCTGCCCTCCAACTCCACCAACTTTTCTCTCTCCGGGTGCCCGGGTGCAGAGGAGTCTGAGGGGCCGGGGGCGCCAGGGGGGCCTGCTCCTGGCTCCCTGGGGGCGTCCATGGCGGTGAGCTCCTCGTTACTTCTGGGACTCAGGAAGGCAGTCCAGGCCCCAGGCAGAGCATTCCCGCTGGTGAGTAACACTTCCTGAGGGCGGGCCGGTCACACCCGCCAGTTAACTCTTGTGTGTCCATTAACCGCTCCCTCTGGCTCTGGGCCCGGCTGGGGGGACAGGGATCCCTCCCGGGCCAGGGCTCCAGCTGCAGCCCCCTCTCAGAGCTCCCGCGGCAGCCGCCTGGGACCCCGGGCGGGGAGGAAGGGGTTAAGGGGGCCTGCCTCCTCCCCCTCTGCCCAAGCCTCCGCCCCCGCCCCTTGGGGCACCTTTCAAGTCTGTGGTCAGTTGCTCAACTGTCCACCTTGGGGTCAACCTTGTGAAAGGGTGCCTCCCAATGGCCACGATGATGACTCACTCCGGGCTCACTGGGGTTTTGGGATTTCAGGTTGCCATGGAGAAAGGATGCCTGTCTCCATGGGAACAAACCCCTTTGCTTAAGTGAGGTTCTGGGGGTGGTTCTAACAATCAGCACTAAACAGGGGCGCCTGGCTGTGAGGTGGCGGCACATGGCACTGCTGCCGGCTGCCTCCCACACACAGGCCTTGCCAATCTGCCGAGCGACGGGCAAGTGCAGGCATGACCCGGCCTGCACACAGAGCACCCAGCCCCTTCCCATCGGAGGCCCCGGGTCCGCCTGTGCCACGTGCTGCTTCAGACTGTGTCACCACACCGGGCAGTCCAGGCCCAGCCGCCACCTCTGGGGGACGGGTCATCAGAGCCCCCTTTTCCGCCGTCTGTACCCCAGTTCGGAGAGGGGAAGCTCCTGCTGGGGAGTGAGGGGTCCCGGGGCCCCAGAGAGCCTGCCTGTTTCAGACACTCCTCACGGGAGCCCCGACACCTCACAAGGTAAATCACACACGTTGGGCCATAGCGGAGACCCAGGAGATGCTTTAATTCCGTCCCCTGCCTTGGGAAGACCTGGGGAGCCCGCCTTGTCAGCATGGCAGGAGGCAGGACAGGTCCCCCAAAAACAGAATTCCTGGTTCAGAGTTCCCACGAAGAGGGCGTGGTGACTGGGAGCCAGGTCCAGGGCCGGCAGGAAGGCTGTGCTTGGCTCCAGACGAGGCAGGTCTCTGCCAGGGAGGGACGGGGGCTGGCCTTCGGCGGGGAAGGCAGGGGCTGGTTGGGGATGAGGGCCTCAGTCTTGCCTGGCGAGGGCAGCTCGGGCCACAGCGTACGAGCCGAGCAGGAGCAGAGGAGTCCGGGCCGGTGAGGGCTGGAGGGCAGTGCCCGCAGCAGCATGGGGAGCCGGCCGGCCGGGGCGACCGAGGGCTGTCGCCGGCCTCTCTGCGTGGGAAGCTGTGACCGGGTTTGGTGCCTGTTGCTCCGAGGGGCCCCGCTGGCTGTGAACCACAGGGTCATGGTCCTGGGTCCGAGGGAAGGAGAAATCACTGAGGTGAGAGTAGCCAAGACAAGAGGGCGCAGCCACTTCCTCTGGGGAAGAGGAATGGCCGGGCCTGCCCTCACCTGTGGGCCATCAGCTCCTGGGCACCACCCCCAGCGGCTGGGGTCCGGGCTCAGGGGGAGCTCCGCATCCTAACCCATCAGCTTAGAGCTCCCCACCCCCACCCTGGCTCCTGCTCCCAAACCCCCAGTGCCCTCGAGCCCAGGCTGTCCGGACTCTCGGGCGATGGTCCAACCGGCCGCTGCCTCTCGGGCTCCCTCCCAGGGGCTGGGCTGGGGAGCCCCTGTGGGTCTTACCATCGGATTTTCTCTTCTGCGGGGACACGGCGGCCCTGGCCTGGGGGGAGAAAAGCCCCCTGAGAGCCTGCCCCTGGCCTGGCCAGTCCCCTCCACACCGCCGCTCTGGGGGGGGGCTGCTGGGCCAGTGCTGCCGGGAGCGGGGGTGGGGAGGGCATGGGAAGCAAACACTTCCTAGACGAAGCTCTGATGTGCCCGCCTGTCAGAGGCCGGGCCAGGCCAGCTGCTATTCCACCGTCCCTTCCCCCATCCCATCAAAACCCGCCCGGAACCAGAAAGAGGCCCAGGGGACAGGAAGCCCCTCCTCCCGGGCAGCCCCGGGCCAAGGAGGCTGTGAGCGGGCAGTGAGTGGGCAGTGATGCCAGGGGCCTCGGAAAGGCTGGGGTGGACCCACCTTCTTGATAGCCGTCCAGTCCTCCAGGATGTCGATCTCCTGCAGCATGTACACGATGTAAGGGCCTGCCACAGGGTCAAGGAAGCAATGCCTGGGGCGGGGCGGGAGCTCGCGAGAGGCAGTGCCCGGGGCGCGGGCTGGCGCTTGGCCCCACCCCTCCCTCTTGGCCCCCAGGTTCCCTGGGGAAGGGGCATGTGTGTGGCCATGGCCTAGTTCAACGAGTCCAAGAGGGCAGGGTGGGCCCAAGCCTCATTCCTGCTTCCCCTCCCTTGGCTCCCACTCATGCCGCTCCCCACTTCAAGGTCAGCAGGCCCCCCACCTACGCCCTGTCCCCCCATGTGGCCCCTTCCCCATCTACACAGAGTCCATTCTCAAAACTCTGGCCTCCCAGGCCCCCGGGGACCGTCCACTCTGTCTTCCCATAAGCGGCACCCAATGTCCCCACGCCCTCAAGCCCGTGCAGACCAGGTTTCTCCCTCCCTCCCTCCCTGACCCCGGTTCCTAGCGCCAGGCGGCCAGTGCCCTTCTGCTGATCCTGCAGGACCCAGGGTGGGGGGCTGGGTGCGAGGTGAGGATCCAGGGCGTGTCTGTGCTGGCTGTGCCAGAGGGAGAAAGCCTAAGGGGGGGCAGAGGCAACTACCCCACATGCGAGGTCCCGGTTTAGCCCGCAGGGATGCAGAGAGAGAAGCCACAGCTGCCGGGACAGACGGGCAAAGTGTGTGAGCAGCAGCTCCCGTCCGAGGCGTCCGGGCAGCTGCCCGCTCCGCCCTGCGGGTGGAAGGATACCGGAAACGAGGGGCGCCTTCTTCCTCTTGCTGGGCGGCAGGGAGTCCCAGGACCTGGAGCTGCCTCTGGTGTGCAGCTTGTCATCCCACCACTCTGTGCCCCAGACCCAGAGTCAGGATCGCGGGGCTGGCCCTCCCAGGACCCCCCGCCCTCGTAGCCTGCCCTTCCCGTCAACCCGCTCCCAGGAGAGGGGAGAGGACCCTGGGCTTGGGGCTCAGCGGCTGAGTTCAGGTCCCAGCCGCACAGAAGGACGACCTGGGAACGAGGCCGCTGCGCCCCTCTGGGCTCGTGTCGTTTGTTAGTAGATAGCGGGACCAGGTAGTCCCCGCCTCCCCGGAGCCCGCGGACGCAGGCACTATGGACAGGGTGGGACTGCGGCTGCTTATGTGTGGGTGTCAGAATGTCGCCGCCCATTCTGGAAAGAGGGCAAGGGCAGCGGAGGGCAGGGGACCCACTCTTCCCGAACCCCCGCTGTGCCAGGCTTTCACGCCCCTCTTCCTCTCCCCTGGAGCGGGCAGGGAAGCGCGGGCGCTGACGGAGCCAGGCCGGGGGCAGGGCGCTCAGCGCTGGCCGGGCCTCACCCGAGCTGATGTCCAGGCTCTGGCGGTCCTCCTCCAGCCTCTGGATCCGCTCCTGCAGCTCCCCCTGCAGGGTGTCGTAGAGCAGCAGCTTCTCGCTCTGGAAGAGGCGGAGCAGCTCAGTCAGGGGGGACGGTGGGGAGGAGGGGGACGGGACGCGGGGGGGGGGGGGACCGTGACTCCCCCTCCCTTGGCGCCCATCAGTCACCTCCAGGTGCTGCTTGGCTCCCTGCAGCTCACACTCATACTTATTCCTGATCACGTCCAGGCAGAAGCCCTTGTAGATCCCTGCCGAGGGGGGGGGGGGACGTGTGTGAGAGGCCCGGCTTGTCCAGGACGCCAGCGCCCCCAGAGGAGGGCCGGGAACACGGGCAGGACAGGGACAAGAGAGGGAGGGCCCATCGGTTGGGAAGGGAACAGGGAAGGAGACTGGGGGTACCCCCCCTCCCGGGGCACAGGACAGCCCACAGACCTGCCACTTGAATGCGGATCTTGAGGCTCCGCTGCAGCCCCCCCAGGGGCTCCGTGTACTCGGGCGCTCTCTCAGCCCCCACTTCCTCCAGCCGCACCTGCAGCTGGCTCAGGCGTTCCCTGAACAACCTGGGAGGCAGGACGGGCTCACCGTCAGCACGTGCGGAGTACCTGGCCCAGGACAGGCGCTCGCTCCGGGCCTCAGCCCCTCCGCCCGCACCGGGCCCGCCTGGTGCCCTCGCTCACTTCTCCTTCAGCTCCGAGAACTGCTTCTCCAGGTCCAGCATCTCACTGACGCACTCGCTGCGGCGTCGCTCGTAGTCCTCGTCGTCCATCTCTGGGGCGAGAGGGCCGTCAGGGCTGGCGAGGGGTGGGCAGGCGTGTGTGCGTGTGTGTGTGCGTATGTATGTGTGTGTCACCTGAGCTCTCCTCCTCGGACTCCGTCTGGCTGCCACTTCGTTCCTCCTCACTCTCCTCTTCCTCTCCGTTCATCTCAGCAGCGGAGTCCCCCTCGGCTTCCATCTCTGCTGTGTCTTTGCTGGCAGGCTGGAGCGGCATCTGGGCTCTGGAAGGAGGGCAGGGCCACCACTCGCCAACGCCCCCAGCTCCAAGCAGGTAAGTGGCCACGCAGGGAGCCGAGCAGAGCCCGACCGCAGCTGGGACGGCCGGAAAGGGACGGACTCGCCACGACCTGAGGACACACTGGGCGAGGCCGCACATCCCCTGAGCTGGGGGAGGCCCAGGGTGGGCTCCCCGCTGCCTGTGGGACGTGGCCTTTCAAGGCCCCGCACCAACTGGCCTTGAACTACGGGTCCAGCTCCTTCACCCCCATCTAACGGCCAGTCCCAAACACACCAGCACTCCTTTCCTCCCCGCACGCCTCGTGCTGGTCCTGCTGCCTGTGACGCCCTCCACGTCTCTTCCTGAGAACTCCCCCCAACCTCTGTCTCCCACTGTGCCCTGCGTCCAATCCCACCTCCTGCTTCCTCTGGGGCTTCCTGTCAGCAGTGCTCCCTTCCCTCTTGTTATTTCCAACTCTCCCTCCTGACAGTTCCTGCCCACGGACCTTCAGGCTGCTCACTGAGGAAGAGCAGGAACACAAAACCTCACCCCGCTCCCCTCACGGCTACACCTCTCAGGTCCTGCGCACACGTGCTCTTCCTATGTTCACCTCCCACCTGTCTGTTTCATCGCTGTCAGCTGCCACTAATTCCACAGGTAACTCACCGCCCCCCTGTAACTAATGCCAACATTCCTAACCTGTTAACCGAGCGGACCGCTAAATACGTCAGACATAAACACTATCGGGAACGGGTAGGACATATGAATACGCCCTTGAAATATATGTTGCGCCCTGAGAGGGACGGTATATATATTTTGTAATCTTTTTTTTTTTTTTTAATATATTTTATTGATTTTTTACAGAGAGGAAGGGAGAGAGATAGAGAGCTAGAAACATCGATGAGAGAGAGTCATCGATCAGCTGCCTCTTGCACACCCCCTACTGGGATATGCCTGCAACTAAGGTACATGCCCTTGACCAGAATTGAACCCGGGACCTCTCAGTCCCCAAGCCGACGCTCTATCCACTGAGCCAAACCGGTCTCGGCTGTAATCTTTTTTTTTAAAATATATTTTATTGATTTTCTTACAGAGAGGAAGGGAGAGAGATAGAGAGCTAGAAACATCGATGAGAGAGAAACATCAAACAGCTGCCTCTTGCACACCCCCCACCAGGGATGTGCCCGCAACCAATGTACATGCCCTTGGCCGGAATCGAACCCGGGACCTTTCAGTCCGCAGACCGACGCTCTGCCGCTGAGCCAAACCAGCTTTGGCTGTAATCTTTATAATTGTTTGTAAAATTTATAATTTTTTAATTCGATGTTTTCATTTTTTTGTTGGTATTCTTTTCTATTTGTTTGTAACTTTGTATTTTCCTTTGTGCTTTCTATATAAATAAATAAATAAATATATATTTCATTTATTTTAATTAAGTATAAATAAAAAAATATATAAAATTACGTCCGCTGGGTGTGACGTACTGACCCGTCCTAGTGAAAGAGTATGCGCCTGTTGTACGTTGCGTAATTCAAAAGGGGACTCCCCGGTGAACAGGTTAATGCTTATCACAGCTGCCTTCTCAGCAACGCTGAATACTGTTACACATTCCTTCTTATATTCGCTCCATCTAATATTTCGTGAAACTCTAAAATATGTTAGGTACCATCAGACACTCTGGTAGGAGCTGGCCACAACTGTGATGGACAGAAAGACAGACCGTCTCTGACCTCAAGCTGGTTACAAGTTCCTGGGAGAAAAGGGCAAAGAAGCAGACGGGCACAGCGATGTGGGAAGAGCTGGCGCAGGGGCACAGGGGGGCGGCATCGAGCGGGGTCCCGGGCACGGGCCGGACAGGCGGCCCAATCTGGCTGAGGGAGGAGCATTCCAAGAAGAGCAGCGCGTGCTAAGACCTCAAAATGAGGGGAGGGCCAGGGTGGGAGCGCCTCGGTCTAAGCCTCGGAAAGAAATCTGGGCCCTGATCCACAGCGAGTCCTTCTGACCCTGCGAGAGGGGGCAAGCAGCCAGGCGGGATGTGTGGAGCGAGAAGACATTCACGATGGAACTCAGCGCCACCAAAGGGGTAGAGGGGGAGGACCCTGCAGAGGAGGAGGAAATTACCAAGAGGTGAAGGAGGAGACACTCAGTCATGAAGAGAATTTTAGAAGGAAGGAGAGGGGACAGTGCCACATGCTGCCAAGAGATCACCCAATGGGAAGACTAACGAGGCCGCTCCACAGATCACCTCCGCCTGCTAGGGGTTCATTTCACCGCCACGTTCTTCCCACTTCTCTGGACACTGTCTTGTCGCCACTCCCCCAGGAAGCCGAGTTGCTTACATTCCTCTCTACTCGCCCATCACATGTCTGTCTCCTCGGCGGGGCATGGCGGCACCCGCACCTCCTCCACCTGGCACAGAACTGGCACCTCATGACTGGAGGGTTTGCAAATACAAATGAAACGTCTGCGAGGCAGGAGTTGGCTTTTCCTCTTGGTAGCCCCCAGGCCCACGGGATGGGAGCAGACTCAAAGTGTTCTGCTAGCCTTCCTTGGCAGCATTTGTCAAACAACCGGACTGGAAAGGTTAGTCCCCCTTCCTCAATGATCTCACAAATAATCCGAACCTGATCCGAAAATCTCGGCTCTCCAAACCAGCCTCCTCACTTCCATTCTCAAGCCTCGGTTCCAACAGTTCCCAAACCCTGCAATTCCTCTCACTGAGAAATATATTTACTTGGTAAAACGCAACGTAACCCGGACCAGGAAGAGCGGGAGCAGGAGCTGCGGGGGGGAGGGGGAGTGCAGGTTACTCCAGGTGCCTCTCATTCTACTGATGAGCTCAAACCACAAGCTCCCCTCCTCACCCCGGGTGCAAAGAGAGCAGCCATTGCTACTGGAGCGTTGCAAAGTTTGCTGGGGCAAGGGGTGGGAAGGCGCTGTGCATGTGCAAATGAGCTTTTCGGAAAGGGAGCACCGCGAGGGCAGGCCTCCATGGTCCCAGCCGTGAAGAGGACCAAAATCAGCCCCTCCGCCGGGGGCGCGCCCGGAGCCTCCCGCCCCGCTCCGTCCCGGCGCGCGCGGCGCGGGCTGGGGAATCGCTGGCTCCTCCGCGGCCAGCCTGGGGCCCGCGGCCCTGGGCGCGTCCGGCCCGTTAGGTCTCCGCTCTGGCCCCGGAGACGGGGCGGGCTCCGACCGGCGAGCTGGAGGGACCGAACCGGGCGCCACGGGTGGCGGTACGCACCGCAGGGAGTGGAGCCTCCGGCCTCTCGTCTGAGTCTCTCCGACAGGTGCCCGGTGCCCGGTGCCCGGAGCCGCCGCGCCGGTCCCTCTTCACTGGGAGGCGGGGCCTGCCCGCGCTTCCGCATTCGTCATCAAGAGGTGCCCGTTGGGAAGCTCGCGATTGGCCAGCTGGCGCGAGGCATGCTGGGATACCGCGCCCTGGTTTCCATAGCAACCAGTCGACCTGCACTTTGGTCCTCGGCTAACGGGCTTCACAGGTGGAGCCCCTGGGTCCGCGGCCACCTTCCTCCGACCCCCACGCGGCGTGACAAAGGCGACCCCGCGGCCCCGCCGCCGCCCGCCCGGCTCGGGAGAGGAATGGAGCCCGCTGTGGTGGTGAACACATTTATTTACAGTCATCGGTAGGCACACGTACAGCTCGGTCTGTTCCAGGGTACCGAACTCGCAGACCCTTCCCTTCTCCGGAACCCGCGAGGCCTGGGACAGCCAGGAGGTGTAGGCTTCTGCTCCAAAGCGAAGAACTAAACTCAACGCCTTTATCTGATTTCTTTGCAGAAAGCCCATTCTGTTAAGTACTCAGACTTCTCCCTCTGCGGCGCCATTCATACTTTTTTGCTCTCCTACTGCCTACCCACCCAAGATTGTTAATAATAATAACAGCAGTAAAAACAATAATACTGTAATAATATCAATAATACTTCACATTTTGACGAAGCTCTCACAGAGTGTTTTCACATGTAGCATTGGGGGGGACCAAGGTTTGGATCCTCTGAGCCTCCCAGCAGTTCTGTGAGGTAGATACTCCCACCTCCCTTTTTCCAGACGGGGTAGCCGAGGCTCAGAGAGGGAAAGGGATTTGCTCAAGGCCACGCAGCTAGTTAGTGGTAAAGCCAGGACTGGGTCCCAGCCCCCCATGTCCAAAGTCCAGTGTTCCAACACCACAGCTACCATTGGCAAGTGGAGTGCCATTTCTTACCCCTCTAAGGCCCGAGGGGCAGCCCAAGGAGAGAGGAGGCTGACACTTCTCAAACGAGGGCAGGGAAGGACTCAGCAATGTCGGGTCGAGTCGGGGTACTTGGCCTTCAACTCCTGTTTGAACTGGCGGTAAAGCAGCTTATTGTGCTGGTTTTCGGCTTCCTTTTGGGGGTGGAACTCCTTGGGATCTTTGAAGCCCTTATGAATCAGGAAACCTTCGTTCAGCACCTTGAAAACAAATCCCGCCACGTGCAGCTCACAGGCCTGTGGGGGGAGAGACAGGTCAGCAACTGCCTGATGGTATTTCTAGGGCCGAGACGGACATTCTAGAGCCGACGCGGCATCCCAGTCCTCCAGGGGCACCCCGGACCTCCCGCAGCCACCACCGAACTGCCGTTTCTCCCGCCTCGACGTCCACCTCCCCCCCAGGGCCCCCCGGCCCCGCCCCCGCGCCCCCTCCCGGGCACCTGGCTGATGCGGTTGAAGCCGTACTGCCGGAAGCGCTCGTCGAAGGCGGGAACCTTGCCTCCGGCCATGTAGAAGGGTTCCCAGGGGTCCCGCCAGGGCACCTCGTAGGCAGGCCTCAGCAGGGTCTCCGTGGGGAGGTCGGCCCAGTGGTAGTAGTCGGTGGGCGCCTGGCAGGGCATGCACACGTCGTAGTAGAAGGGCCGCACCTGGCCCATCCGGTAGAGCTTCAGCAGCTCGTCCTTGTTCTCGGGCAGGCGGTAGCGGTACTGCCGCATCTCGAAGGCGGGCACCACGAGCGCGGTCCCGGCCCACTGGTCGCTCTGGTCCAGCATCTCCCGCAGGCCTCGCCACAGCCCCTCGCTGGGCACCATGTCCACATCGACCACCAGGGCGTAGTTGGCCCCCTCCCGGGCCAGGTTCCTCAGCATGTTGTTGGGGTAGGAGACGTTGCTGCCCAGCGCGTAGTTGACCCCGGGCTGAGCCACGCTGGCCAGCTTGTCGAAGACCTGCTGGCAGGACCGCAGCAGGGCGAACTCGCCCGGCTCGCGGGGGTCGGGCACGGCGGCCTCGTAGCGCGAGGGGCACGCCAGGTGCATGGCCATTCGGGCGCGGACGTCGGGGCAGTGGCTGCTCATCGCGAGGGTCAGCACCGTGGCCAGCTGCGCCTCCTCCTTGGTGGCTGCGAACACCGCCACGGCCAGCGGGCCCTCCCAGCGCTCCAGCAGGGCGGGCAGGTGCAGCAGGTTGTCCACGCTGGCGTGCGTGGCCAGGACCACGTCGTCGGAGTCCATGGTGGTCTTCAGGAGGCCCCGGTAGACGCGGTAGTCGCCGCTGGCGTCCAGGACGCCCCCGGAGGCCAGCGCGGCGCGGAGCTGCGCCTTGACCTGGTCCACGGACCGCGGGGACGGCGGGAAGTACTCCAGATACTGCTCCTGCTCCTCCTGCCCGTGCAGCCCGGACAGCAGCGACAGGTAGAGGAGCTGCAGCATGGCCACCAGCATCAGCGCGGCCACCAGCAGCTGGTAGAAGGCGCAGCGGACGGCGTGGAACGTGTGCATGGCTCTCGGGGCTCTGGGCGCGCAGCGGGGACCACCGGCCGCAGCCTCGCCAAACGCCGCAAGCCCGGATTTACCGCAGCCTGCCGAGCGCGGCCGAGGAGAGCCGAGCGCGGCCGAGGAGAGCCGAGCGCGGCCGAGGAGAGCCGAGCGCGGCCGAGGAGAGCCGAGTGCGGCCGAGGGGAGCCGAGCGCGGCCGAGGGGAGCCGAGCCCGTGCCCGGCCCCCAGGAGTGCCAGCGCGCCCCCTGCCCGCCCGGAGGAGCGACTGCACCCGCCGCCCGCGGCGCGCTTTGCAAACGCCGGCTCTGCCCGCGGCGGCCCCGCTGGGTTCCCAGCGACCAGCACCCGCTCCCTCCGCCGGGACGTGACCCCGCACCCCGGGCCGCCCGCGTCCGGAAACCTCGGCCCGGGCTCAGGGAGGGAGACCCGGCGGAGCTCAGCCGCACCCGGCGAAGGGCGGCGCGGGTTCGCGGGGCGGCGGGAGGGAAGGACACACACAGACCCTTTCTCTCCGCGGCTTCCCCGCCGGTGGATCCCGCCCGGCGGCCCTCGGTGCGGAGGGGCTCGGTGCGGAGGAGAGGAGCGATAAGGGAAGTCAGAAAGGCAGAGCTTCCCTGCGGGACGAGGTGGCCGAGTGGTTAAGGCGATGGACTGCTAATCCATTGTGCTTTGCACGCGTGGGTTCGAATCCCATCCTCGTCGGTCGCGTTTTACGCAGGGGGTGGCTCTTTATTTTCCACGGCTCTCCGCGGCCTCCTCCCCCCTCAGGCTCTTCCCGCATTCTGCATGCCTTCCTCCCTCCCAGACAGGGGGCCCGGCTTCCTCCCTCCCAGACAGGGGCCCGGTCCCGCACCTGGAAGACCAGAACCCGGGTTCTGGCCAGGGGCCTGAGTGCTGATCACACACACACACACACACACCCTCACACACACACCCTCACACACACACACCCTCACACACACATCTCACACACACCCTCACACACACACACACACACACACACACCCTCACACACACATCTCACACACACACACCCTCACACACACCCTCACACACACACACACACACACACACACCCTCACACACACACCTCACACACACACACCCTCACACACACACACACACGTGCGCGCTTGAGTATTCTAACCCAGCCTTATACAGAAGGTGCTGAATGAGTGTGGATTCTTTGAAGAGGAGAGTTTGTGGGAAGGGCAGGTACTTCCCCTGTTATGTCCATGACAGGCAATGGCTGCTGAGCGCTGTGAATCTTGGGAAGGTGCTCTGGGGCAGGAGGGAGGGTGCTCTGGGACCCTCTACCGCCCCACAGGCAGGGGGAGCTGAAGGGTGGCCAGGAGCCCCTATTCCACGGCCCCACAATGACTCCCACGGAGCGCAGAGGGGAACTGCAGGCCCGAGAATGAGGCCTGCGGGGACACGGGCGCTGTCCTCGGTGTTCGCTGGTGACGGGGCCAGAGGAGAAACAAGAGCCTGGCAGCACGGGCCTGGAAAACCGGAGACACAGAGGCCAGATCGGATGCCACTTGGGTTTTCTATGACCTGCTCAGGGCTAAAGACGACGACGACACAATTTAAAGCACATTGATCGTTAACTTTGTTAATCAGGAGGCTGGACATAAACCCCATGTCCAGCTTCCGTGTGAATTCTGGAAGATCTGGCAATGCCAGGCCTGCATTCCTTCAGGGTGACAGCGCTGGAGTGTAAGAGTGACTCCCCTCTGCAAAGTCTTCGCTTTGCCAACGTCTCAGCCCTGCACCTTCCTGCCCACCCGGCCCTCTGGGCATTTCTTTCACCTGCGGTGCCCACACAACCCCTACTTTCCACCTCCAGGTGCCGGGGATCTGCCCACTACCCCTTCCCTCACCCCCTGCGATGCTGGCCGCACAGCAGCTCCATTCCCGTTTTCTGAACCAGTAAATCCAAGGCTTCTGGAGACTCCCCGGGGCTCTCCTCTAAGGGGAACTGAGAAATAGTGACAGGGCTTGGCCGATTTCCAGCAAAGCCACGTGGAAGGGGCCAGAGGAGGCCCAAAGCCCCTGGTGGGCAGAGAGGCCTGCCAAGCTCAGCGGGGAGTGGGCAGGTGAAGCCCAAAGAGCAGTTCACAGCCATTACCAAGGGGGCTGTTCCCTGTGCAGCTCTCCCTCTGCTGGTCCTGGCTTCTGGCTTTTATAATAAATCTGGAATCCGGCAGGAAAATGTCTCTCTCAGTGCTGCGCGCTGCTCTAGCAAATTAATGGAGCCCCAGGGCAGGGTGCTGGGTGCTGATTTACAGCCAGTTGCTCAGAAGTACAGGTTACAACCCGGACGCAACATTGACATCTGCAGGGGAGCGAGTCCTTAGCTTGTGGACCTGATGCTCTCCCCAGTAGACAGTTACATTGTAGGACACTCAGCTACTGTCAGAGGATGGCCTGGCGAGGGAGGGAAACCCACTCATTAGCCCTCGTTGGCTTGGCTCAGAGGATAGAGCATTGGCTTGCGGACTGGAGGGGCCCAGGTTCGATTCCGATCCCAGGGCTGCAGGCTTGATCCCCAGCTGCCAATCAATGATTCTCTCATCATGGATGTTTCTTTTTTTTAAGAAAATATATCTTATTGCTTTTTTACAGAGAGGGATAGAGAGTTAGAAACATCGATGAGAGAGAAACATTGATCAGTTGCCTCCTGCACACCACCTATTGGGGATCAAAGAACATGCCCTTGACTGGAATCGAACCTGGGACCCTTCAGTCCACAGGCCCACGCTCTATCCACTGAGCCAAACTGGTTAGGGCTCATCATTGATGTTTCTATCTCTCTCCCCCTTCCTCTCTGAAATCAATAAAAACATAATTTTTAAAAATAAAGGATATGGCCGAAACCGGTTTGGCTCAGTGGTAGAGCGTCGGTCTGCGGACTGAAAGGTCCCAGGTTCGATTCCAGCCAAGGGCATGTACGTTCGTTGCGGGCACATCCTTGGTAGGGGGTGTGCAAGAGGCAGCTGTTTGATGTTTCTCTCTCATCGACCTTTCTATCTCTCTCCTTTCCTCTCTGTAAAAAATCAATAAAATATATATTTTTTAAAAATAAAAAAATAAAGGATATGTAACACAGAGTATCCAAATAATAAAATATACAATATTCTGAAAAAAAAAAGAAAAAAACAAAAACCCTATTCATCAGGACGTGAAGAAATATTACTGTATTGATCTTGAATCCCGAAACTTTACTAAATTCACTTATTACCTCTAATAGGCACGAGTGCATGTGGTGTGTGTGTGTGTGTGTGTGCATGTGTGTGTATGTGTGTATTCTTTAGGATTTTCTGTACATGTATGTATCTATCATCTGTGAATCTGGGTAGCTTTACTTCATTTCCAATTTGGATGTCTATTTCTCTTTCTTGCCAAGTGGCTCAGGCTAGCCCTCCCAGTACAAAGGTGAACAGACGAAATGGTAAGAGTGGGGTCCTCCCGTTCCTGACCTTGGGGGAAGGCGCTCACTCTCACACTGAGCCGCCATTGGTTGTGGATTTTCCATGAACGCCCCTTATCCGGTTGGGGAAGATCCCATCTATTTCCGTGTTTTCATCTTGAAGCCTTGAATTTTGTCAGACGCTTTTTCGGCATCAGGTGAGATGAGGATGTGGTTTCCCCCTTCTGTCCTGTGCTGCATGGCGTCTCCCACCCATGTGTTTCTGTACGTTGAACCACCTTGCATTCTGCAGGGCCTGGCTTTGATGTTAGGACTCTTGACCCTTAAATTAAGCAGCCTCTGCAGAGGCAAATGCCCCCTCCTCCCCTGTATCCCTCCTCCCCTCTCTAATCCCACTGAGTCCTCATCGCTAAGGATCTTTGTCATTTGTCCCCAACCCACTGCTCCAGCCTCAACCTCTCTTCTCCCTCCCTCACATCCTAGGGGCTTCCTCACCCCACCCCCTGCCCGAAGTCCCCACTGTTCCTGAATGTCCCTGTCCATGCCCCCCACTCTCTCTGGCGCCTCTGCCTGGGGTGCCGTCCCCCAACACCAGCCCAGCACTCATACTCACCCCTCAAGACCCAGCTGGGGACGCCTCCTTTGGGAGGCTGCCCTGACTTCCCAGCAGGACCCTCGGCCTCTCCTGCAGCCTGTTACACAGCCTGCAGGGCCTTCACACTGTTCCCTGTGGCCTCCAGATATGGAGGTTTCAGGGTCCCGGACCAGCCAGGGCCTGGCGCTGTGAATTGTGGTCAAAAGAATGAATCCTCCCTTGGGCTCTTCCTGGGGCTGTAGTTCAGCTGCCAAGGCCATATATTGCTTCACTTTCCTCTTTGATATCAAAACAGCCTCTGGCTCCTGAGCAGGGGCCCGGCTCAGCCCCCAGGATAGAAAGCTCCTCAGTGACAGTTCACAGCAGGAAGGAGGGCAAGCGGGCAGCCAGGCCAGCGCCTGAAATGGCAAAAGATCCACAAAACCCCACAGGTGCTCTTCTCTGGGCTGGGCATGGTAGTACCGGGGGGTGAAGCAGGCCTCTCCTCCGTCCGTCCCGAGCGTCAGCTGGCTCAGTACGGCTCCGTTTCTGAGAAAGGAGCGCCTGCGGTGCCGAGGGGCCCGGTGCTCTGCCCAGGAGTCCAGGGCTCCTTGCAGGTCCACATCCCTTGGCCATTGCAGGAGTGCTCACAAATCCCTGCCCCTCCCGGGCCTCAGTCATCCCATCTGCCAAAAGGGTACAACCATCCCCACCCCGCCCAGCTCATCAGAGCCAACGGAGCTGAGAGCACTTTGGAAAGAAGGACTCAGAGACCTCATTTTACAAACGAAGAGGATTGTAATTGGACCCAGGAGCAGGAGCAGAGAGAGAAACTGCAGGAAGGCGGGGTGAGTGCCCAGGGCTGCGCTTCCAGCCCGTGAGGAAGAGACGGGGACATCGGGCTGGCAGGATGGCACCTACAGGGGGAGGGGGTGGGGGCTGGGCCCAGCTCTGCCGTGAATCGGGACTCGGGCACCTCCCCTGTACAAAGGGGGGTACAGTCCCTGCCTGGCTCCCCCAAGGGCCCCAGTGCCGCTGGGAGAGCAGGCGCGGGGAGCGTTGCACACTAAGAGCACACATGCAGCCGAGACCGGTTTGGCTCAATGGATAGAGCGTCGGCTTGGGGACTGAAGGGTCCCAGGTTCGATTCCGGTCAAGGGCATGTACCTAGGTTGCGGGCATATCTCCAGTAGGGGGTGTGCAAGAGGCAGCTGATCGATGACACTCTCTCATCGATGTTTCTAACTCTCTATCTCTTTCCCTTCCTCTCTGTACAAAATCAATAAAATATATTTAAAAAATAAAATAAAAAAATAAGAGCATACATGCAGGCTAGCTACAGACCTGGGGCCCCAACTGGCCCTGGGCGCGGACACAGCAAGTGTTGGCAACACACACAGTCTGAGGCCCAGGGGGTCCTGAGCGCACCCTCGGACCCCTAACACCTGTCTCTCTCCCTGCTCCCCCGGACTCCCCGCACCCTCTGTCCTGGGCTCCGAGGGACCTGCCCCGGGGCCGCTGAGGCCTGGGGCGGAGGGGAGTCCCTGCCCCAGGCCGGCCACACTCCCATTTGGAGCCGAGGCCGGCCCACACCCCCGTGCCCTCCGCATGGCCCCCTGCGGCCCCCCTCGGAGGCAGGGCTGTTTTCTGTCCCAACAAGTACACGCTCCGATGTGGCCGCCACCTGCGCAGCCAGGGCTTGTGCTTCTGATCGCGTCGGTCTCTGCGCGCCTCCGTCCTGGGCGAGGGCTGGCATGACCGGTGGTGACGTCTTCCTCGCATCACCCCAAGGCAGCGCCTGCCTCCTCCTGCGGGCACCTCCAGACCCAGGGGCCGGCCCAGCAGAGGCCTGAGCGGGCGCCACCCCCTGCCCGGCCTGGGCTCCGAGGGGGCGAGAGGAGCCGGGGGAGCGGAGCCCTCAGAGCAGTGCCTTGAAGAGGAAGGACAGGGAGGCCCCGCAGGACAGCCCCAGCGCCAGGAAGAAGGTCATGAGGGCGCCGGCCACCTCTCGCTCATGGGGCAGCACCTGCCTGCGACACACACACAGGGGGCCGCTCTCAGAACACGCCCGGCCCCCATGGACCCAGCCCCGCGACCCGGCCCCCTCACAGCACCCCGAGTTCTGGCCTGTGCGGACCCACCCTCAGCCCTGTCTCCGGACTTGTTTCCTGAGCTGAAATGAGGACGAGGGCATCTCTAGGCCCCCGGGGGCCAGGATTATAGGATTCCAGATCCAACGGCTTCCCCTCTGGATAAAACCGCCCGCCCAGCTCCTCTGGATTCTCAGCTCCGTGGCCCCGACACCAACAGCCTATGAACTCTGCTTCTGAGCAAACTCAGTGAGCGCCCCGTCCACTGAGAATTTGGGGAGTGGGTGGGCCCTGAGAAAGAACAGCCCAACCCGTTTACTTCACAGATGGGGAAACTGGGGCCCAGAGAGGAGGCCCCAGCGCCAGTGGAGTCATTGTCCACCGACGGGGTGGCACAGCGAGGCCCGGAGGCAGGCAGCCGGGGCAGGGCTGGCCAGAGCAGGGTGAGCCCCCTGCAGGATGCCCCCCTCAGAGAGCTAACCCGGCCCCCACCCCCAGGCCCTCCCAGGCAGTCCCCGGACCTGGGCGCCAGGCACATGGTGAGGGACACCAGGTAGCCGTTGGACACGGCGAAGACCATCATGAAGGTGATGAAGTAGGCGTCCTGCGGGAAGAGGGTGGGCAGCCGGGACCGCTGGGGCACGTGGCACAGCATGAAGAGCGGGATGAACAGGACGCGCAGGCAGACCAGCAGGGGCAGCAGGCGGCTGTCCTGGTCCGGCTGCGGCGGAAGCAGGGGTCAGGCCAGCCCCGCGAGCAGGGTCTCTGCCCCAGGGGCGCCCGCAGACCCTGCCTCTCTTCCCCTGAGCCGCCCCACAGGAGCTGTGAGGACCCAGCGCTCGGGCCGGGCCATCCAGCAAGCCAGGAGGGCCTCCGCCTCTCCCCGCCGCCAGCCCGTGGTCTCTCCGGGCAGAACCGGAAGAGGCCGCGGGCAGCATCTTTGGTTTTCAAACCTGGTTCCTCCGAGCACCCCCACAGATCCCTTTGGGGCGGCGGGGGCTGCTGAATGGGAATGGGAGCTGGGCATCCAAGTCCCATCCTGCAGCTCCTCCCTGACCTGCTTTCCTTACTGTGTCTCCTTGGAAGGTTTCATTTGATGAAGCAGCACCGCGGCGGAAAGCAGTGCCAACACCAGGAGCGCAGTGCCCCCTCACTGGCGCTGAGACCTCCACGCGGGTCTCCACGCACCGAGGGCTGGCCCTGGGCCGGATGCTGAGGGTCAACCGGACACAGTGTCCGCGTTCGGAGCGCACGGTGCCAGCCGTGGCTGGCATGCCTCCCTGCCACCTGGTGTCTGTCCCGGTCCAGGCCCAGACCAGCTGCACCTTGGCTGGGAAATCACCGTCCTGTGCTCTCCCTCGGGTAGCCAGCTGCTTCCCAGAACCTCAGGCCACACACCCGCCCTCCCCCAGGTGTGCTCACCCACAGGAAGTACGAGGTCAGGCTCCGCCCCAGGCAGTCCATGATGTTGAAGAGAAGGAAGCAGCAGATGGGGTTGAAGAACTGACCTGGGAGAGAGAGAGAGAGAGGGGCTCATCCCGGTCCTGACTCCCCTCCCTCTTCTCTCCCCTCCGCCCCCCTGCCCAGCCCCCTCTGCAGCCCAGCACTCACTCCACTTCCCAGGACTGGTGGAGCTGGTCACCATGGCGGTGATGGCGGGGAAGACGGACAGGGTGACTGTGAAGACCAACACAAGGCACAGCGCCGTCAGCCAGATCTGGGAGCCGGAGGCAGGGGTGTGAGCAGCGGGGCAGGCCTGGGGCCTAAGGCTCAGCCCCGCTCCCGCCGACGCCTGGCCCAGGAGCACGGCACCGGGGCCGGCTCAGCCGTGCCCCCCGCTCCCCTCTGCCCCTGCCGCCTGGGGCGGCCCGTTCCACGCTGAGCCTCTGGGGAGAACCTGCGAGAGCGGAGTCTCTCCCCCAGGAACGGGGGCGGGTTACATCCGAGCCAAACCTTTCGGAAGACGATGAACACGGAAGGTTTTCCTGGCTTCTGGGGCTCCTCTGGCTCCAGCTCCGGCTCCTTCTCAGGGTCAAGTTCCAGGGTCAGGGCCGCCCTCTGAGGGCTGCTGGGGATCCCGTTCTTCTCGTCTGGGGCAAGAGGGGCGGCAGGGTGGTGCCCGTGAGCCTTGCCTATGCAGGGAGGTTCCCGGCGATGAAAAAAGGGGCCCTCCTTCAGCCCGGGGGTCAGGGAACCAGAAGTAACCACAGGAATACGCTCAGCTGCTGCGTGTTAAGCACATGCGTGTGCCGGGCGGATTAAGCAGCCGAATGGACCGTCTCACTGCCACGGCTCTACGGGTAAGGGGGCTCAGAGGGGTGTAGGGACTTGCCTGAGGCCACACAGCTTGGATGCTGAGAAGCTGGAACTCAAACTCAGATGCATTCGGATCCGGGACTCGCATGCCTGATGCGCTACTGCCCCCGCTTACAGGGGGGCCTCTGAGGCCCGAGGGGCAGGGGAGGGCTTCGTTCCTGGCATTTGTTCTGCCTCTGCTCCAACAAGGCTACTACTAGGGGCGCGGGCTCTTGCTGGAGACAGAAAGGACACCTTCCCCTGGGAGGTGCCTCTGGGCCTCCCCGCCTTCCCCAGCGGGGCCCGGGGCTCACCAGCCTGCAGGAGCTCAGCTTTGGTCTCCAGCTCCCGACCTTGTGCCAGCGACGGCTTCCTGGCCAGGTAGTAGCGGGCGAGCTCCTGTGGAAGGCAGTCATGGGTCCCGCCTGGCTCGGCTGAGGCGCCTGGGTCCCTCCACCCGCCGTTGGCTCGGAGGCCGGGGTCCCCGGTGCCCTCGTGGCTGGCTCCTTTGGGGACCCGGCCTGGGGCTGGGGCCCCTCCGCCTGCCTCGGTGGCTGCTGGGACCTCGGGCCAGGGCTGTCTCTGAGATGCTCTCAGTGCTACCTGAGCCTGCTCACCATGTAGGGCAGGCTCAGGTAGCACACGATGGACGCGAAGATGCCCACACAGGGTGTGATGAAGTAGCCCAGGGCAGAGGTCTGGGCGTCCACGCCACCTGCGAGGAAACTCCAGCTGCAGCAGGGAGGTGGCTGGTCCCACTTCCTAGCCTGACCTCCGGTTCACCTCCTGGCCTCTGCCACGCCGCTCACAACACACGCGGGAGTCCTGTCAGGGCCCCAGCCCATCCCTCACCTCTCTCACTCTCACTGTCCTGTTTGTTTGTTTGTTTGTTTGTTTTTTTTAAAAATATATATATATTTTTTATTGATTTTGTACAGAGAGGAAGGGAGAGAGACAGAGAGTTAGAAACATCGATGAGAGAGTCACCGATCAGCTGCCTCTTGCACACCTCCTACTGGGGATGTGCCCGCAACCAAGGTACATGCCCTTGACCGGAATCGAACCCGGGACCCTTCAGTCCCCAAGCCGACGCTCTATCCATTGAGCCAAACCGGTTTCGGCTGTTTGTTTGTTTGGGGTTTTTATGTGCTCACTTTTACTGCGTGCTCCTTACAATCGGATGATGGAACCATAATAACCATCCTGGTGAGGAGAGGGACACCGGGAAGGTGCTTTGTCCAATGCCCCGCACTAGGGGGCAGAGGAGCTGTGATTTGAAGACAAATCGATCTGAATCCCTAACCTGTTCCTCCTCGCCTCAGCCTCACCTGCAGCCACAGGTCCGTTTTCCTCCGGAATCCTGCCCCTGGCTCCAAGCTCACCCAGCCCTCACCAGTCACTCTCTCTCTGCAGAACCCAAACCCAATCCCAGCTCCCGCCACCTCTGCCTCACCCAGAACCCACAGCACCTCCCTCCTGGCACCCTCTCCCGCCCCCCACAATCCCAGAGGCCACCCTGCCCCCCCATCCCCGGCCGCTCAGGTCCACTCACTGGCCATGGACATGAGCATGGCGAGAGCCGCGAAGATGCCAGCCAGGCCCTGGCCGCTGAGGAAGAGGCTGCTGTAGGTAGAGGGCATGGTGCCCAGCTGCCCGAACAGGCTGCCCTGCAGGACCGCGCAGAAGGCTGTGGGGGGACACGAAGCGGGGCTGCCGCTCAGCTGGGGAGCTTGGGGGCTCCCTGGGGGAGGGTCAGCAGGACACACTGTGGCTCTGGGTGGGGTTGGCAGGCATAAGGCTCCTGGCACTCTGGTCTAACACCCCCATTCACTGCTCTCCTGAGGCGCAGCCATGGACTTGAGGTCTAGGGTCCGGAGGCCAGCTCTCAGGTCAATGGGGGCCTGCCACAGTGACCTTTCCCCTCCCTCCGGGCCTCAGTTTCTCATCAGGGACATGGGCGCAGCTGCTGCCTCCCCTTTTTGTATACACTGGGCCCTGTTCCTTACAGAAGGAGGCTGGGCTGGAGTCCTGGGGGAGGGGGGTGGCAAGGAGGGGAGGGGGAGGGCAGTGGTCCTCACAGTTGATGAACCAGACGGAGGCCATGGTGACGGAGAAGAAGGGCCGGGGGGTCATGTCCACCTTGACCAAGGCCGCCGTCAGGGCGAAGAGCAGCAGGATGACCAGCAGGCTGCCCAGGACCCGCACCACCTCAGGGATGCTGCCCACAGAGGGGGGTGGAGTGGGCGTCAGTCAGCTGGGCCAGGTCGGGCGAGGGAGGTGGCGGGAGGGGAAGCCCAGGGCTGGGCGGTAGGGGTGGGGGGGGAGGATGCAGGGGTGTGGAGGGAGGGCCCAGAGGGAGCCGCCTCAGGGGCTGGGGCAGGAACCAGGAGGGCAGCCTCTCACCACTGGTACAGGAAGGAGTTGAGCAGCGTGAAGAGCAGCAGGGGCAGCTGGGACAGCAGCGTCACCCAGTTGTTGAAGTTGAAGGTGTCGGCCGGGCCCGTGTGGTTGGCGCCCAAGGTCAGGAGAGTGCTGTTGGGCCCTGCCAGCCGCCCCTGGAAGTACTGCAGGTTCCAGGGGGGTAAGGGGGGGGGGCGGTCACCCCGCAGCACACCCGCCTCCCGCCCGCCTCCCAGCCCGCCCTGCTCGGCGGGTTCGGGGAGTGTCTGTGGGGACCGGCTGTCTGTCCTGTGTGTTCCCGGCACCTGGCGCTGCCCGGGCTCAGTGGATGTGCATCGAACCGAGTGACTGAGAGCGGGAACAGAGCCCCGAGAACCCCAGCGGGGCCTCGCTCCCCTCCGCTCGCCCCTCTTCATCCGTGTCCCAGCCCGGCCCCACCGCCACCAGCTTCTGGATTCCTGAGTTTTATGAGCTGCAGTGAGCCGGCCAGAGCCGGCTGCCAGCCAACCACAGTCCCTCCGGAACGCACCCCGTTCCCCTCCCTCCCGATGCCCACGGCTCCCCAGGGCCCGCGGGGCAAAGCCTGAGGCTCAGGAACAGCATTGGGGCCTTCAGACCCAGCCCCCGCTCTGTGCCCCCTCTGGCTCAGGTCCCTCCCCCACGACCACAGGGGCCCAGCCCGGGGCCAGGCACCGGGAGCGTCTGGAAAGTGCACTGGATGACCAGGGCCGGGAGAAACCGGCTCCGGTCCTGCCTCCGGGGAACTCAGCTCTGAGGACGGGGCGTCCCGAGTCTGCTGATCCTCCATGCCCCGCGGCGGGCCTGGGGCGCAGCACAGTGGGCGCGGTTACTCCGAGGATGCGTGAAGGCACCCGCACACAGGCCTGGCGCCGGCGTTGGGGTGCCAGCACAGAGCTCCTGAGCCGGTGGCCTTGCCGCAGGATCGGCAGCCCCAAGAGCTCGACCTTCCTGGCCACCAAGGCCCCCCTCTCCCGGACCCCCGCTCCCGGGCCCCCCTCTCCCGGACCCCCGCTCCCAGGACCCCCTCTCCCGGAGGCCCCGCTCCCAGGCCCCGCTCCCAGGCCCCGCTCCCAGGCCCCGCTCCCGGGCCGGGCCGTGGAGGCGCAGCGGGGAGGCCGGCCGGCCGGGCTCACCGGGATGGCCGTGATGAAGAAGTTCCAGGGCAGCAGCGTGCCCAGCCCGAGGACGAAGAAGCTGACCCCGACCAGGTGGTAGCTGCGGGGAGCGGTCAGAGGTCACCCCGAGGGCGCCGCCCCCCCCCCCCCTCGGACGCAGCCCATCCCGGCTCCGGGACCGAGTCCCGTTCGCCCCGCGGAGCCTCAGAGCCCGAGAGCGGGGGGGGGCGGGGGGGGGCGCCTGCGGCCCGGATTCCATGCGCACCCCCGCCCCCCCCGGTTCCATGCGCACCCCCTGGCCCCCCGGTTCCGTGTGAACCCCTGGCCCCCGGTTCCATGCGCACCCCTGGCCCCCCCCCGGTTCCATGCGCACCCCTGGCCCCCCGGTTCCCGTGCGCACCCCTGCCCCCCCCCCCGGTTCCATGCGCACCCCTGCCCCCCCCCGGTTCCATGCGCACCCCTGCCCCCCCCGGTTCCATGCGCACCCCTGGCCCCCCGGTTCCCGTGCGCACCCCTGGCCCCCCGGTTCCATGCGCACCCCTGGCCCCCCGGTTCCATGCGCACCCCTGGCCCCCCGGTTCCATGCGCACCCCTGGCCCCCCGGTTCCATGCGCACCCCTGGCCCCCCGGTTCCATGCGCACCCCTGGCCCCCCGGTTCCATGCGCACCCCTGGCCCCCCGGTTCCATGCGCACCCCTGGCCCGCAACTTGCCTGTCCTGCGGGACGTCTCCCCGCGCCATGTCGCCCGCGATGCGCCGGGAGGCGGGGGCCGCACCTGCACCTGCGCGGGGCCGGGTCCGAGCGCCCGGAGGCCGGTGCGGCCGGGGGGCGGGCCGGGCCTCGGAGGGAGGGAGAGGGAGGGGAGAGGCCGGGCCTCGGAGGGAGGGGAGGAAGGGGAGGGGGAGGCGGGCGCCCGGGCGGAGCCGCAGGCCGGTCTCCCCGGTCCGACCTTCCGCAGCTCCGGCGGGGCCCGCCCTGGGGCGGGACCGAGCGGGGCGCCGCCCTCCGCCTCCCGCCGGGGCTCGGACCCGGCCTGCCCTGCCCCGCGGTCCGGACCTGCCCGGCGGCCTGGAGGCGGGGTCCGGGCCCTGCGGGCGGGCGGGAGCTGCCGTTCCCCTCCGAGGCCGCAGCTGCCTGCGCGGCGCCTCCTCTCCCCCGCTTCCCTGCCCCCTCCCCCCTGTCCTCCCTCCCCTCCCCCTTGTCCTCCCCCCTGTCCTCCCCTCCCCCCCTGTCCTTCCCGTCTCCCCCCCCTTCCCCTCCCCGGGGGACAGGGCCGGCAGCGCCCCCTAGCGGGAGCCCGGAGGCTGTAACCCGAGCGGCTGCGCCCCGGGCGGGGAGGCGGAGGCGGCGGCCCATGTGGGGCCGGGAGGGCGGTGCGGGGGGGGGGGGGGGGGGGGAGGGCGGTGCGGGGGGGGCGGGGCGGGGGGGGGCCGGGAGGGCGGTGCGGGGGGGAGGCCGGTGCGGGGGGGGGAGGCCGGTGCGGGGGGGGGGGGCCGGGAGGGCGGGGCGGGGGGGGCGGTGCGGGGGGGGCGGTGCGGGGGGGGGCCGGGAGGGCGGTGCGGGGGGGAGGCCGGTGCGGGGGGAGGCCGGTGCGGGGGGGGGGGTCGGTAGGGCGGTGCGGGGGGGTCCGGTGCGGGGCCCGGGAGGCCCTTCTCCTCCGGCGGAGCCCGGACCGCCCTGGGCCGCACAGGCCGGGCCGGGCGGGGAGCCGGGCTGTGGCGCCCGTGCCCCCCCCCCCCCCCCCCCCCCCCCCCCGCCCCAGAGGAAAGTCACTCTGGGCCCAGCCCCCGCACAGCGCCCCGGGGACCGGGTCAGGTTAATTTGCTCTCAAAGGGGCGGGCTCTTCCTCCGCCCCTGCCCGGAGGGCGCCCACCAGAGGCCCAGCTGACTGTCTTAGCCACTGCCGGCTCCGTGTGTGTGAGTGTGTGTGAGTGTGTGTGTGTGTGTGAGTGTGTGTGAGTGTGTGTGTGTGAGTGTGTGTGACTGTGTGTGTGACTGTGTGTGACTGTGTGTGTGAGTGTGTGTAACTGTGTGTGTGAGTGTGTGTGAGTGTGTGTGAGTGTGTGACTGTGTGTGTGAGTGTGTGTGACTGTGTGTGAGTGTGTGTGACTGTGTGTGTGACTGTGTGTGACTGTGAGTGTGTGTGACTGTGTGTGAGTGTGTGTGTGACTGTGTGTGACTGTGTGTGTGAGTGTGTGTAACTGTGTGTGTGAGTGTGTGTGAGTGTGTGTGAGTGTGTGACTGTGTGTGTGAGTGTGTGTGACTGTGTGTGAGTGTGTGTGACTGTGTGTGTGACTGTGTGTGACTGTGAGTGTGTGTGACTGTGTGTGAGTGTGTGTGTGACTGTGTGTGTGAGTGTGTGTGACTGTGTGTGAGTGTGTGTGACTGTGTGTGTGACTGTGTGTGACTGTGTGTGTGTGTGTGTGTGTGTGTGAGTGTGTGTGAGTGTGTGTGACTGTGTGTGTGAGTGTGTGTGTGAGTGTGTGTGAGTGTGTGTGACTGTGTGTGTGACTGTGTGTGTGACTGTGTGTGAGTGTGTGTGACTGTGTGTGACTGTGTGTGTGACTGTGTGTGTGACTGTGTGTGTGAGTGTGTGTGAGTGTGTGTGAGTGTGTGACTGTGTGTGTGAGTGTGTGTGACTGTGTGTGAGTGTGTGTGACTGTGTGTGTGACTGTGTGTGACTGTGAGTGTGTGTGACTGTGTGTGTGAGTGTGTGTGACTGTGTGTGTGACTGTGTGTGTGACTGTGTGTGTGAGTGTGTGTGACTGTGTGTGTGACTGTGTGTGTGACTGTGTGTGTGAGTGTGTGTGTGAGTGTGTGTGAGTGTGTGTGACTGTGTGTGTGACTGTGTGTGTGACTGTGTGTGAGTGTGTGTGACTGTGTGTGACTGTGTGTGTGACTGTGTGTGTGACTGTGTGTGTGAGTGTGTGTGAGTGTGTGTGAGTGTGTGACTGTGTGTGTGACTGTGTGTGACTGTGTGTGAGTGTGTGTGACTGTGTGTGACTGTGTGTGACTGTGAGTGTGTGTGACTGTGTGTGTGAGTGTGTGTGACTGTGTGTGTGACTGTGTGTGTGACTGTGTGTGTGAGTGTGTGTGAGTGTGTGTGACTGTGTGTGTGACTGTGTGTGTGAGTGTGTGTGAGTGTGTGTGACTGTGTGTGTGACTGTGTGTGTGACTGTGTGTGAGTGTGTGTGACTGTGTGTGACTGTGTGTGTGACTGTGTGTGTGAGTGTGTGTGAGTGTGTGTGAGTGTGTGTGACTGTGTGTGTGACTGTGTGTGTGACTGTGTGTGAGTGTGTGTGACTGTGTGTGACTGTGTGTGACTGTGTGTGTGAGTGTGTGTGACTGTGTGTGTGACTGTGTGTGTGACTGTGTGTGTGACTGTGTGTGAGTGTGTGTGACTGTGTGTGACTGTGTGTGTGACTGTGTGTGTGACTGTGTGTGTGAGTGTGTGTGAGTGTGTGTGAGTGTGTGACTGTGTGTGTGACTGTGTGTGACTGTGTGTGAGTGTGTGTGACTGTGTGTGACTGTGTGTGACTGTGAGTGTGTGTGACTGTGTGTGTGAGTGTGTGTGACTGTGTGTGTGACTGTGTGTGTGACTGTGTGTGTGAGTGTGTGTGAGTGTGTGTGACTGTGTGTGTGACTGTGTGTGTGAGTGTGTGTGAGTGTGTGTGACTGTGTGTGTGACTGTGTGTGTGACTGTGTGTGAGTGTGTGTGACTGTGTGTGACTGTGTGTGTGACTGTGTGTGTGAGTGTGTGTGAGTGTGTGTGAGTGTGTGTGACTGTGTGTGTGACTGTGTGTGTGACTGTGTGTGAGTGTGTGTGACTGTGTGTGACTGTGTGTGACTGTGTGTGTGAGTGTGTGTGTGACTGTGTGTGACTGTGTGTGAGTGTGTGTGACTGTGTGTGACTGTGTGTGACTGTGTGTGTGACTGTGTGTGACTGTGTGTGTGAGTGTGTATGTGTGACTGTGTGTGACTGTGTGTGTGAGTGTGTGTCTATCCACAGCAGGTGCCTGGTGCTCGGTGAGGAGAGGGTCGCAGTGCCAGGCCGGAGCCTTCAGGGAGAGCAGAGGCGGCATTAAGTCACTCTGAGATCCCCTCGCCGGTGTGGCTCTGTGGATAGAGGGTCTCAGGTTCGATTCCGGTCAAGGGCATGTATCCTGGTTGCGGGCACATCCCCAGTGAGGGGTGTGCAGGAGGCAGCTGATCCGTGTTTCTAACTCTCTGTCCTTCTCCCTTCCTCTCTGTAAAAAATCAATAAAAACATTTAAAAAAATAAATTACACTGTCGTTTCAAACCTTCGGGAAGGGGGAAAGGCTCAGTTCAGTGCTAACGTTTCCCAGGCCTGTTCACCTCGCTTCTATGTTTCTTCTCTCTGTTTTTTACAATTGCTTTATTTTTAGGGCTACTCGTGCTAGTTTCCTATTTATGCTAATTACATATACTTTTCTTTGAAGAATAAAAGTATGTGTAGTTTAATGAATAAACTTACAAACATTTCTTTTTTACAGAGAGGAAGGGAGAGGGATAGAGAGTTAGAAATATCAATCAGCTGCCTCCTGCACACCCCCTCCTAGGGATGTGCCCTCAACCAAGGCACATGCCCTTGACCGGATTCTAACCCGGGACCTTTCAGTCCACGGGCAGACGTGCTCTCCACTGAGCCACACCGGTTTAGGCCTTACAAACTCATTTAAATTAAATGAGCTAAATGTAATAAAATGTAAACATACACTTCCTAGAATTAAAAAAACAAATCAGATATACATAAATTAAAAATATAAATTGGTTTAAACAACTTTTAAGAATGTATTTACATTTTAAAGTAAGCCTGTTTAAAAACTTACTATAAACTAAAATGTATTTCGGAAAAAGTGGGTCATTTCAGGAACACGCAGCAGATGGCAGAGCAGGCGGAGGGAGGCACAGTGTCAGGGGGAGGATGTGAGCTGAGGGGCACAGCGGCCCCGAGCCCGGTCCGGAGGGAGCGAGGGCCTCCGGAGAGGACAGCCCGGACCAGGACAGGCACTGAGGACGGTGACACTAGGCCGCTGGTTCTCACCAGCCTGGGATCCATGTGAAAGGGGGGGTTCTCACTGCAGTCGCTCACCCTGTCCTCACATGTCTTATCACTGCCTCCATGGAATGAGCAGCGATAAACCCACTGCACACAGGGGTAACGTCAGTGAACGCCCTCCCGGCAGTGCCCGGGGTAAAGTAACGGGTGTGTGAGGCGGGGACGCCGGGCACAGGGGGCGCCCACAGAACCTCCGTGGCTGCGGCCGCCGTCACGGCCAGGCTGGCCGCCCGGAGCCCCCCAGGCCGCTGGGCGCTGTGGCTTTCTGAAATGGTGACCAGGCCTCGGCAAAGTCCCAAACAAAACAGAGTGCAGCCCTGACCGGTTTGGCTCAGGGGATTGAGCGTCGGCCTGCGGACTGAAAGGTCCCGGGTTCGATTCCGGTCAAGGGCATGGACCTTGGTTGCGGGCACAACTTCAGTAGGGGGTGTGCAGGAGGCAGCTGATCGATGTTTCTAACTCTCTCTCCCTCTCTCTTCCTCTCTGTAAAAAATCAATAAAGTATATATTTTTTTTAAAAACAAACAAACAAAAACACAGAGTGCAGCTGTCCCTCTCCACAGGCAGTAGCTGCCTGGGCGAAAAACGGGGTGGGCATTCCAACCTTACAAAGAACACGTGTGTCCGTGTGTACACTGGGGTTAGGGTCTAGGCTCATA